TCATTAACATCAGGTAAAAAAAAAGGCTAGTGCCATTAACGCAGGGTTGTTGATATGCAATGACAGTTTCCTGTTTGTGCCCAGCTCACTTGGTAGTTTGTGGCCAACATTAGGCACATAAAAGATTACATTTTGATATCATTTAAAAAGATGAAAAAATGTGGTTTACCTTCATTTTCGGTGCTATTGCATAAAGTTTCACCATAGATATGATGCTGCCGTTATTGGAGAAAAATAATCTCAGTTCAGCGACCTTGAAATGGTCACGATGCGATACCACCCACAATTTTGGTCCACAAGAGCCATGGCATGAAACTGTCAAAATTTACGAGATGTGTTTTTTGGGGATGAGGGTGTGAGCATGATCTTGTAATACTGTAAGGAATGAGACACACTTTAAGGGCCCCTTAGAATATCTTGTAATGAGTGTGTTAGACCAAACTCCAGGGCATAACTACTTTTAACCAGGTGTCTTCTGATATCAATTTAAAAAAATTTGGAGCACCTTTTATTCAAATGAGCCAATGAAATATTGCCATGTATGTCGTTTGTACATTCAGCTCCTGATGCATATGCAAAATTCATGAGGGTTAATTTCACCAGGCTATGGCACTTACAAAATGCAGTGAGTATGACTTCAAACCTTTTAGTTTATGCAGGGATTATACCTCTTGCAAACTTTTACACAGCCAACTATACAATTGTGCAGGGTTGTTTTCACATTCACAACAAAGTTTGCAATCTGGAAATTATATTCATTAAATTGTGCATTTAATTCTTATTAACAATAGCCTAGAGCATATCATTTCACCCACTAGTTACAGTACATTTTCAAGCCGAAAATAATATATTCTTGGCGGCTTCAAAATCAGTGCGTTAGTGAGTCCAGGAATCAGAATTATACCTCAAAGGGAATACCTAATGTGTCATTGGTAACTGCACTTCACATATAAAACCTTGCCAAATTTAAATCTATATCCTAGCTTTAGTCTACAGACAAACCAGATTTATTCAACTAATGTGAAACTTATGAACTGTCTCATAAATTTGTAAACAAACAAAAACAAGCAGTGTAAAATACTTCTCTTTGATTATATATAATTATATGTTGCATTTTGTATATTCCACACTAAAAACGTAGGTCAACTCTCTGGAAATTCATTCTATGCAAGTATTCCAGTCAATATTCATTTGAATTTTCAAGATAAATATACATTCCATTTTTTCACAGTAATATTCTTCTCATTTAATCTGGATTTCATTACCAAAGATGTCATAAGTTACACATATTAAATCAGCGTGTAACAATAAGGCACATGTCATCACATAAATACCATCATACGGCTATGGTCGTATTTTCATAAAAGTTGTTCAAAAAGTGTGCAAAACATAATTTCGTAAATAATCAAATTAGAAAAATCTGAGCAGAAACAATAGTTCATTAAAGTTAATGAAAAGACATTTTTTCCACCTAGTGTGAACATGAAGCTTTGGACTTTCTTTTTTCAAGGGCTAAAGCCTTCTGCAAAGTAATTATTACAAACAATATTTGGGATGCATTATTGCATAAAGCATCAATCATATATAAAATCTGGTGCAATGTATATAGAGCTTTCAAAATACCAAACCTCTTAGTTGATTTGCCTAACTGCAGGAAATTATTCATGGATAACCTGTCAATAATACAGTAACTATTTAGTGCCGAGTATGGGAATGTGTGGGTGGGTGTGGTGGTTATAGGTATACAAGTATGAGTGTTGGTGTGGATGTAGCTGACTATGGATTTTAGGTGCTGATATGGATATGGAAGTAGATGGGAGTGTGGATGTGAGTGTGGGTACCTGAATACCTATGAGTGTACGTATGGCTGTGTGTCTGGGCATATGTGACTGTTATTTTATATATTGGTCAATAAAGGACTTAACCCTATCAAAGAGAGTATGAGAAATAGATATCATAAAACAGGTACTGATTTTCAACTTTAATAGATATCTAATACTACAATGTTTGAACTTCTCTACCTACTTTCTATTTCACTGGTCTTTTTATCTTTGTGTAGAGTGTAAAATAGAAGGAAAAAATCAAACCATCAATCTTAAATCATTCAAAAAATGTATACAATAATCTTTGTCAATAAATTTTTCTCTAGAACTATGCCGGACTTAAAAATAAGAACAAATGTAAAATCAACTTTGATCTGTGCTTCTAAAACATACAAATCTTCTATGTTCTCTAGGAATGATTTTATGATGAAGAGCAGTTGGTGCTGATCATTCAGGGACTAGAAAACTCTTTTAAAACAACCTTAATATCCTCTTAAAAACTTTCGAATACTGAAGGCTTCATTCTCTATGAAACTCTCAAATTATACTGTCCTTAGTGAGAAATCAGACTAGTATCGCTGCCATGCAGCTGAAGCGCCCCTCAACGTCGACAGTTTTTCTCCACTCGGATTGTCACACTCAACTTGCTCCTCTTTGTTTGTTGTACTCATCACATCCTGGAAAAATAACACATAGGCATTACATACATCATATCTAACACAGACTATAACAAAAAAAGTCATAATAGCTTAAATCAATCATACCTCCACTTTGTAAAATGCACCTGATATTAAACGACCATAATACACAATTTGTAAACTTTACATGATGTGCACATTCATCATAGATACATGCTGAAGTATATCTATATGTTTGAATGTATGTATGCTATAAGCACACAATGTATACAGAAATCAGCAAAAATATTGGTAGGTTAGCATAAATATAAATTACTAGTGAATACATTTATGTTGCTTGCATTTATACATGCACAGGATATAGAACAGGAAAATGATCTAGAAAAGTACTGTGGACATGTATGTGCAGGTATGAGTAGGCCTCTTGAGTGTATTTGTATATGCATGTGTGTGTATAAGCATGTGCATACATATGCACATGTACATGTACATATGCATATAGGTGTGCATGTGAGGGTGAGGGTGCATGTGATGTGAGGGTGAGGGTGGTGGTTGGCGTTGGGGTGGGGGGTGGGGTGATGGTGGCGGTAGAGGTGGGGGTGGGGGTTAGGGTGAGGTTGGGGGTGAGAGTGAGGTGAGAGTGAGAGTGAGAGTGAGAGTGAGAGAGTGAGAGTGAGAGTGAGAGTGAGGTGAAGGTGAGGGTGGGGGTTCAGGTGAAGGTGGCAATAGGGGTGGGGGTGGGGGAGGGTGGGGGTGGGGTGGGGGGGTGGGGTGAGGGTGAGGGTGAGGGGGGGGTGGGGAGATGTGGCTTGGGTTGGGTTGGGGTGAGGTGTGAGGTTGGGGGTGGGGTGTGGGGGTGAGGTGTGTGTGCGTGTGTGCGTGGATATGGATGTGGATGTGAGTGGTATGAGATGTGGATGTGAGTGTGTGAGTGTGGTGTGGTGAGTGTGGATGTGAAGTGTGATGAGTGGTGTGTGTGAGTGTAAGTGTGGATGTGAGTGTAAGTGTGGATGTGAGTGTGTAAGTGTGGATGTGAGTCTGTGTGACAGAGGATATGAGTCTGTGTGTGTGGATGTGAGTGTGTGTGTGTGTGGATGTGATGTGAGTGTGTGTGTGTGTGTGAGTGTGTGAGTGTGGATCTGAGTGTGTGTGATCTCAGTGTGTATGATGTGTGTGTGTGTGTGTGTGTGTGTGTGTGTGTGTGTGTGTGTGTGTGTGTGTGTGTGTGTGTGTGTGTGTGTGTGTGTGTGTGTGTGTGTGTGTGTGTGTGTGTGTGGTGTGTGTGTGTGTGTGTGTGTGTGTGTGTGTGTGTGTGTGTGTGTGTGTGTTGTGTGTGTGTGTGTGTGTGTGTGTGTGTGTGTGTGTGTGTGTGTTGTGTGTGTGTGTGTGTGTGTGTGTGTGTGTGTGTGTGTGTGTGTGTGTGTGTGTGTGTGTTGTGTGTGTGTGTGTGTGTGTGTGTGTGTGTGTGTGTGTGTGTGTGTGTGTGTGTGTGTGTGTGTGTGTGTGTGTGTGTGTGTGTCGTGTGTGTCTGTGTGTGTGTCTGTGTGTGTGTCTGTGTGTGTGTGTGTGTGTGTGTGTGTCTATGTGTGTCTGTGTGAGTCTATATGTGTGTGTGTGTGTGTGTGTGTGTGTGTGTGTGTGTGTGTGTGTGTGTGTGTGTGTGTGTGTGTGTGTGTGTGTGTCTATGTGTGTGTGTGTGTGTCTATGTGTGTGTGTGTCTACATGTGAGCTGTGCTTCTGCTTTTGCTTGTGTGCATTACATACTGACAGCAACTGTGCAAGTGTGTCCAAATTGATTTATGTTGAACATTTCAAATTACCCATCAATTCAATTTATTCATATCAGGACTTCCTAGTGAAAAAATAGATGGAAGTACAAAAAAAAGCATAGAATCTATAAGAAAAATCAAATATTCATTAAATGATGCTCTTCAAATTTAGCACAAACATAAAGCCATTCATGTAATCATTCCACAATATACAGATTACAAAGAAGCTTAAACATATATGGAGCCCTTGAGTTAGCAGTCAGCAATGAAATAAAGGGGAAAATTAGCAGGGCCATTCTCTCAATGACCCTTTCAGCTATACCAAAAGCATTTTAAACAACTACTGAGCTGGAAGTAATACCAGCAGCATGCTACTTTTAAAAATATCTGCAATTAAAGAAAGAAGCACAATATTATTTTCTACACTCAGAAAGTACAGACAGCACAGATTAACCTCCAAATTTCCTGGCAAACCCCAGAACATGTTTTCATTTGTAAATGCATCCATAATACTCATGTGACTCCATAAAAAACTGCATATCATTAAAATGCACAGAAGAAAATTCATACCAATTAGCGATTAGCAAGACCTTAACCTCTCTTTGTGAATGTAGAGTCAAACATATTTTCAAGATATAATGTACTAAAGAAAAATGCAGAACATATGAACTAACCTCATCATCCACTATGTGTGCAAAGTAGATAATAGAACATTTGCACAATATATATGGACAACATATAAATATTCTTTTCAAATGTTCTTTTTCCATAATAAAGGGTAAGGCACAAATTTAAACTATAATTAATCCTTCTCCTTCCATTGTCTTTCTTATCTTTTCCCACATGTCTGTCCACAGTTTAAGTGCCATCATTGTATCAGAGTTTTTCAGAAATTACAGTAGCTATGTAAAGGATGATGTAATTGCATCATGGAGCCTACCAACATTTATTTACTTTCTATGGAAGCATTTACATAGCATTAAATATAAAGCAGTTACAATAGCATGTCTTGTTGAAAAACAATATATCTACCTGCAAAATTCAAAAGCTTGTATATATGAAAGGCTATATATGAAGTACATACTTTACATATTGAGCACCATAACAAGGAAAAATATTTCACAAAAATATCAGTAAAAGGTGATTGTGTCTGAATTCTCCATAGCTTGTGACATGATCTCCTATCTATCTTGCATATAAAATAACATTGCAATACAAATGTGTATAAAATTATCTATAAATATATGGGCACAAGCTTTTTGTATTATTCTTACTCTTTATACCATACCAACTATCTACATCTATACTACATACAGAAATATGTGTTAAACTGATTTCATGCTACACTTTCAGCTCTTCTGTAGATTTAAAAGGAACATCTGAACCCATCCTTACATTACCTCCCATAAAAGATTAAAATGTTGCAGCTACAGCATACCTACAGCATCATCATAGCATTCTCTTTTTCTCAGAATAACAAAAACAAAAATCTGAGAGAACCAACACTTGAATAATCCATTTTTCTGCAATCACCACATACATTTGAATTTTAAGTTTAAATCTAGCTGGTGGCTAAAAAGAGCTGTGATAACTCAAGTCAAAACAAATTTCTTTAACCATTACAAGCACCATAATTCTAATCACATCAAAAGGTTAAAAGTAGACATTCAATTAACTGTTTTGGTAAATTTCAAAACCAATGTACCTTAGTATACAACAAAATCTAGCACCAATAACAATGAAGAATCTTGATTTAATACCATTTTGCAAATCTTATCATTTACAAGAAATAAAATATGTACCCTGTTTGATTACTTCTCCATTTCAGTCTAAAAGCAGATATCCCCTACATCTGCATGTAATCAAATGTTGAAGTCGTCTTCCAATGATTATGTTGATATAATGTATCAAAAGAGGTTATTTTTGTCAATATGAAAAAAATTGCCTGCTTCTCATGTAATTTGTTTAAATGGTTTCAATGTTATCATAAATTAATATTTCCTGATACAGATATTTAAACCAATCATAATTAAGTGGAGAAATATCCTTTCTTTAAAAATTATAAACTAATATGATACACAGTAATACATTCTGTATCATTTAAGAAATAACAAAATATAAAATGTTAACTTACAGAAAGTGGCATTTCAAGTCAATATTTCCTGGGTGATATAGAGAGAAAGGTCCATATTTTATCTCCCTCTAAGGTCTAGGGTCATCTTCCATGTTTGTTTGCTAGATCTCTGACCATAACAATGATAATAGCTACAGGTGATGTCTAAGATTTATACAATGTATGACAAGATTGTGAGACTGATTGTGTGCCACAGAATTGGACTAACTATTGCTGAAAAATCCCAAGAGAGTGACATTTAGCATCAAACTATAACACAAGTCAAGTAAGAGTCATTCACAAACCTAGTAGTGGGGATACTATGAAGACATCCCTACATAGTCTCAGATTCATAAACAAGTGGATGCCAATCCCAGTTTTAAGGACTGTAACTCAAGGGGAAAAAATATCTAGCTCTTTGGGGATTTACGAAAGACTCACAAAACAGATACAAAGGTCCAATCTTTTATGGCACTCAGTCTCACTAATACAGTTGTCCTGACATAGGTGTTATGTATAGTTCTTTGATATTATTTTGAGGTACTGTGGGTGCATGGCCAGAACTCTTAAAAGCAGATGTGAGATTCATAATCCTATACCTCAGAGATGAGCAGGTCTATTGGTAAAATACCACACTAGAAATACTGAATGAAGAAACCAACTATTTTGTTCATCCAATTCTTTGTAGCAAGTGTTACCACTTTTGTCACTCGACTTTTCTCTTGACACAATCTGTATTGCCATTAAAATTTGATATATTCATTTCATGCTAGAACTTTTGGTAGTGAAGGCTTATTCACACTCAACTTTTTATCATGATCCCATAATAAAATACAGCCATTAACCCCTATGATCCAGATGTCAAGACCACATCATGAAAAAAATTGGCTTGAGGGGTTGGCTTGCCATCATGGGGAATTTTCCTGAGGGAGGGGGAGGCCAGAGCTTGCCGTCATGAGAATTTCAGTTGAAGGCCACAGTGACAGGAATGTCTCGCCACAAGCACACAAATCTCAGAAGATGTAATTTCCATGATTAGAATCCTATTCCTGCCAACTGTGACCAATGGCACAGATTGTACTACAAAAAACTGAAAATTACTAAAAAATGTCTGACACAAATAACAATATTTTAATTAATGTTATTATCACTGCACT